TGAAGGAACAGGAACAAATACCAGTTATTATTATTAAGGCAACTAGGTGGTGCGATGGATACAGTCCTGAACCGGGAGTCCAGGAGACCTGAGTTCAAATCTGACCTCAGATACTTATGAGAAATGTAACCCTGGACAAGTCATTTAGCCTCTGCCTACCTCAGTTTTCCCATCTGTAAAATGGGGATAATAATAGCACCTATGTCTCAGGGTTGTCTTAAAGATATAACGAAATAATATTTGTAAAGAGTTTTGCAAACCTTTAAGTGCTATATAAATATACATAAACAATACATAAATTTATATATTATTAGTAGTGGTATTAATCACCTTTTACATTCACTAGAGAAGATAAAGTAGTATAATATATACATATACATATATATATATATATATATATACATAGATGGGTAGATAGATACATATGACAGATGACAAAGAATAATATGATCAATATGCAGCAGAGGAAGGAATAGCCAAGGAAAGCTTCACTCAGAAAGGACTTGAATTGATCCTTGAAGACATAAACAGTGAGATGGGTGGAAGGGAAAGAGGACATTCCTGACTAAGAGAACATTAGGAACCACAGGATTTCAGACCTCAGAAAGAATCTAAGCCAGCCCCCTCATTTTACTGATGAGAAACTGAGGCCCAGAGAAGTTAATTAATTTGCCCAAGGTCACACAACTAATAAATAGCCAAGTCTAATAAATGAACCCAGTGCCTCTAACTCCAAATCCAATATGCTTTGCCATTTTATACACTGCTTTTCAAGGGACTAAAGGCACAGGGGTGGGAAGAATGAGCATAGCATCTTCAGGGAATATCCACCACAACCTTGGAACCCCCTCCTCTCCCCTCCCTGCCCAAGACACAGGAAAGAAATCACAAGGTAGTACTACAAAGTCCCTGCTGCCACCTTCTGAATGCTCTGGGAAAGATACCCAACTAAATGAAACTGATACCACAAGGCGATGGGAGAAGGGAGACAGAATCCAAGGTGTTGAGGCCATTTGGAGCTTACTACTCAATAAATACACCTGCCGATGAACCAAGCACTGGTACAGAGTACAGAAGATAGGCTTGACTGTAGATGCTGGTGGAAGACTGTAGTGCACGAACTCTCCTTCCCTGAGGCCAAAGTAGCCTATCACGACGGCCTTCTCAGGACAGCCCTGGGCAAGGAACTATAGCAAGGAGTAAAGTGGGGATGGGGATGGAGGGGGGAACGCCTTTGGGGCAACCATCCTGAGACACAGGTTAGACCACAGAAGCTGCCACAACATTGGTCAGGCCCAAGAGACCTTTCGGCAGGCCTTGCAACCCAGGTGACCTTCAAGCCTGGCTGAGGTATGAATCTGAGTGGCCAACACTGGCATCGCCGCAGCCATCACTTATCCTAAGTTGCCAGGCCTTGGGAAAAGACAAAGTTATTTTCAGATTGCACATGGCCAAGTTAGGGCACATTTGTGCAATATCACAGCCTGTGTTGGGGTCAAGGGGAAAGAGGGAAGAGCAAGGTTTTGATTTAACTCTGCAGTCCCACAATTGAAAGTGCCACAACCATACCTGTGAATTAGCTCTCCCAAGGCATGGAAACTGGCCAGGGAGAAACTTTCCCATGCTTGAATGGATTCTGCCATTCCTTTCCCTACCCCAATGAGACCGCAGTCTCTTGGAGAACAGGTGCTAAGTATGTTAGGCTACTTTGTCCTTCCTTAGAACCTAGGGATTGCAAGAGATGCACGAGCATAATAGCTGGTATTTACATAAGTGTTTTGAGGTCTGCAAAGTGCTTTACAAAGACCATCTCATTCTACTTTCACTGGGACCTGGGGGAGGAGGTGCTATTACTACTCTGTGCTCTTTGGAAAAGTAATGCCTTTGATTCTGCATTTCACGCAGTGGTTAAATGCATGGGCATCTGGTACCCCATAAGAGTACCTTGCTTTTGCTGTTTTGTTCAGTTGTTTCAGCCATGTCCCACTCTTCTCGACCCCATTTGGGGTTTTCTTGGCAAAGATACTGAAGTGGTTTGCCAGTTTCTTTCTCCAGCTCTCTTTATAGACAAGGAAACTGGCAAACAGGGGTAAGTGACTTGCCTAGGGTCACAGAGTTAGTGTCTGAGGCTATATTTGAACTCAGGAAGAGGAGTCTTCCTGATTCCAAGCCTGGACATCCTGACTCCCCCCGAGCCACCTAGCTGCCCCTAAAAGAGTACCTTGACAGGCTTACAAATATAGGCTTGTAACTTACTGAAAGTTGTAACCTAGACCTCCAAAGTTAACCTTAGCTGATAGGCAACAAATACTAAAAGATGTCTCCATCCTATTTCACAAAATCATAGGTTCAGAGTTAGAAGAAACTTCAGAGATCATCCACCCCAACCTATACATGAGCAAGAATCCTATGCTTAAGAAGTAGTCACCCAGCCTTCACCATCAATGATGGGAAGTCCTCTACAAATCCCAAAGCAGGCCATGTCATTTTCAGAAAATTAGGATTTTTTCCCCTTTACATAGAGCCTAAATCTGATTCTCTCCAACTTCTACTACCTAACTAGTTCTCCCCTATGAGGCCAAACAGAACAGTTTATTCTCTCTTCTACATAACAATTCTTCAAATATTTGAAGATATCCATGCCCTGCCAAGAAATTTCTTCTCAACACAGAACATGTCCCAATTCTTTCCATCAGTTCTGGATGAATCCTACCACCCTCCAGATCATCTTCACCTGGTACTGCATCAAAATGTTGACTTCCTTCCCTCCTTCTGCCCTCTACACTAAACCTTCACACCCTTAGAGCAAAACCTTTGCCCTACTTACTACATCATCTTGTGAGGATTTTTCCCTATTTGATCTAATAATGCAGAGGCTCCATCCACTTTCCTTTAGTATTGAAACCCCCACACACACACACAAACACACACACTCACAAAACACCAGAAGCTGCAGGCCCTAGGGTAGGGTATGAATCCCCACCCCCACACCCTAGGTCAATGACTGACAAAGAGATTGCATGTCGGGTCCTTCAGGGAAGAAAATGAGATCTGCAAGCCCTAAGACATTCTCTACTTTCTGGTTTCCTAGTTAGGATGCATGCAGACCGCTCGGAGAAAAGAATTAAAAGAATCTTTCAAATCTATCATCCATTCTACCTTTCTGTAAAAGCATTGAAAGCATTGGAAAGAAGACAAACTGACCCCAAACAAATTTCCTTCACTACGTCCAAGTAAAATGAAATCTTGGCCATGAAAAGAAATCACACCTTAGAGTGAAGGGAATCTGCTAAAGGGTCCAAGCCACAAGAAAAACAAAAACAAAAAATCCTCATACAGCATATCTTAAGGACCTGAGCAAGTCTATTCTGGGAGAAGACAGATGTTTCTCAGCCTGCAGGATCCGATACAAGACAGTGCCAGAGTTAAGATCAGGCTATGAGACGGTTCCACTACAGCAAGCCCAACAAAACCAAAATTCAGCTCTGTTCTTGTTCAAACACTACAATTGCTACTGGGGGAGAAAAACACTACCACCACCATCAGGGTGCTGTTTCCAGAGATATTTAAAAAAAAAAAAAAGATAAAAGTCTCCAGAAAGCCCAGGGGGTCTGGAAGACAGGAAAGAAGTATCAGGACAAGTGAAAACCCAGTCCATACAACTGGCACCTGGGGTGAGGATTCAGAGATGAAACATGTCAGCATCTCATGCATAGAGTCACGAAGGAAAAAAATGGAACAAAGACCGGTAGAAAGGAGCTCTCCGGCATTTTGCCGGGTGACAGGAGCGGTGAGGAACAATGTGGGTGAAGGAGAAACGCTTTATTTTTGACTTCTCACGTTATTAGACACATAGCAGGCACCTGAATGTGAGCCAAAATGAACCTCATCTCCCACAGGGAAAGAAATGGAAGCTACCGGCTAGCGACAGAGCTGGAAGAAAATTCAACAAACTTTGGGCTGAAGATTAGTAAGAAGTAATCTCAAGTGAGAAAAACCTTCTTTCCCTGTGACTACTAGCAAAAATCCCATCACTGGAGGCACTGGCACACATTTCCTGGGGCATCACTAGACTCTAAGGAATTTTCACACAGTCTTTACCTACACCCAAAGGGATATGAACCTGAAAAGAGGATGAAGGAAGGAAGGTGGGGAGGGTCGTTCCTCTGAAACAGTGAAACGGGATGACTCTAGGGCCTTAACACTGAACTCAGAAAACTCCACTTTTCTCTCCAGGTCAGCAAGTATGGCAGCAGATACACTGCTTATGAAAGAGGCGAGTGCCCACACCAACCCTCCCCCACTTTTTTTCCTTCTTTCTTTTTAATCACTGCACTTGCAAAGGGATAGAAAGGGTCAGGGTGGGTCTTTCAGAACTTCAAAACTGAGGCAACCCTTGAGAAGTAGCTGGGAGATCTGTCCAAGTCACAGGCACAGCTACAGAAGGGGGAAAAGCCCCTGAACCTTATGCTAGGGAAGAAGCAATTTCCTCATTCAGGAAGTATGCATTTCCCTTTTGAAAGTCGTTCCTCCAAGCACCTCTTTTCCATCGGAGCCCCATAGGTAAATAACACCAGACGCAGTCCCCTGCCCTCACAGCCTAGCAGGTATCTTAGCAGCTAATGGGTCTGAGGGTTAGGTCCCAAAGGAAGGGGTCCCTAGAGTAACAACCCACGGTGAGGTGGGGACGCCGGAGAGAGGCGGCAATCTGCAGTCTCCGGTTTTCAGGAACTGCCATTCTCAGGAATAGGGTTGGGTGGGAGCCTAAGTGACATCTCTCAAACTTTGCAGCGGAAAGTTCCCAGCTCAGGGTAGAAGCCAGCCAGTTGTTATTCAGAAAGTCACAATCCTCCCCGCCCCCCTCCAACCCCCCCACCCATATGCCAGCCTCCTTCCATACCACAGGTGGGCCTCCATATACTGGTTCTCCCATCACATGCCCCGAGTTCCAGCATCCCAGTCCATACCCCACACCCCCACCACTGCTCCAACCCCCTCACCTTGGCCTCAAAGCAGATGCCATGCTGGAAGGCGTCCTCGTTATGGAGGGGAATCCGCAGGTCGTGTCCATCGTCCACCAGGTTGTACTTGGTTTTGCTGGGCATAGTGACCCCAACGAGGAGAAGGGGGCTGAAGGGAGAAGGAGGCCGTCCCTCTCCTCCGGCGAGGTGGGCTGAAGCAGGATAGGGGGCCGAGGCGAGGAGAGAGCTGGGAATGGGGGGCGCGCAGCGCCCAGCTCTGGAGCTCGGCAAGCCGCGGGTGCTTCTAGCCCTGCGGCACCGAGCTGCGCCCTGTGCGGAGACAGCCGAGTCCGGGAGCTGCGCGAGGAGCCGAGTGGGAACCGAAGCGGGAGCAGGACAAAACGGTGGTGACGGCGGCTGATCCCAGCGACAGGAGCGGCGGCGCGGGGGCCATGCAATTCCTGCCGGGGAGCAGGAGCTGAAGGACTGGGACAGGGACTAGGGCTGGGGGGAGGAGGAGGAGGAGGAGGAGGAGGAGGAGGAGGAGGAGGAGGAGGAGGAGGACGAGGAGGAGGAGGAGGAGGAGGAGCAGCAGCAGCAGCGGCAGCAGCAGCAGCAGCAGCAGGCGGGAGCGGGGTCCGCGCGGAGCCCCCAAGGCTGGGGGAGGGGACGACTCGGACCCACCCTCCGGCAGCGGGAGCCGGGCGCAGCTCCTGCCTGGGATCGGGGACTGGGACAAGGAAGGCAAGGAGGAGGAGGAGGAGCAGGAGCAGGAGGCGGAGGCGGAGGCGGAGGCGGCGGCGCGGGCGCCTGTCACCGAGACGAGACGCGGGATCTGCCACCCAGCCAGGCGAGCCGAGCCGAGCCGAGCCGCTCCTCCCGCGCGGGGCGGGCCCCTGGCCCGGGCTCCTCCCGCGGGGGCGGGCTGCCGAGAGCCCGACGACTCCGCCCCCGCCCCGGGCTCTCCCGGCCAGTGCTGGCCTGGGCTGGGCAGTTCTCGGCAGGTGAAAGTCCCCGCAGAAGCTCGGAGCCCGAAACGCGGACCGCCCCGAAGGTGGGGTGGGGTGCCCACCCGGTCTGGACTGCCCTGAGCCCCTGAGGGGGAGGTGGGGAGCCCACCTTCTCCAAGAACTTCGCCTCCCCTGACTGAGCCTGGTGAAAAGACGAGAAGAGCCCCGAGAAGGGGCTGGGGTTGGCGTTTGGTGGGGTTTGTTTTGGTTTTCCCACTTTCCTCCAAATGGTGTGCTGGACCTGATTTAAACAGATGAAACGTTTTCTAGATAGGTTGGGGAAGAAGGGGGAACAAGCATTTGTTAAGCATCCACTATGCGCCTGGCACTGTACCAGGCGTTTTGCAAATGTTTTATTTGATCCCCACAACAACCCCAGGAGCTGTTATTATCTCTATTTTTACAGTTGATGAAGCCGAGGCTGACAGAGGTTAAATGATTTGCCCCGGGGAGGGGAAGGGGTGAGTGAGAGAGGGAGAAAGAAACGGGGGGGGGGCGGAAGGAGAGGGAGAATGAAATCGAGTGAGAGAGAGGAAGAAGGAGGAGGAAGGAAAGGGAAGGAAGAAGAAAGAGAAGAAGACCCTATCTATTATTATATATGATATACAAGGTGTCCCCAAAGTCTTAATGCACTTCCAAGCTTGAATAACAGTGGTAACTGAGGTTATCAGGAAAGATGGCATTTGGAGCTTTAAAGGCCATGGGGAGGGACAGTATAGTGTCATGGAAAGATAAGGACTTTGAAATTACAGGATCCAAGTTCAATCCCTACTCTTGCTTATGACCTGTTTAACCTTGAAATAAGTAACTTAACTTCTCAGGGCCTTAGTTTCCCCATAAGTGAAATGAGGGATTTGACTAGATCTAAGGTCCTTCCCAGCTCTGGATCTATGATCCTTTCCTACAACATTCTTTCTATGTCTCTTGCTCTCAGATCTTTTCTTGACAAATCAGTCTAAACTGGAAGCTTCTACCTGCTCCTGAACACTGAATCTTTTGCCCCTTATGATCTGACTTTTCCGACCCACCACTCTATTCAAACTACTTTCTCCAATATCAACAACACCTTTCTATTTACAAAGTGCCACGCCTTTTTTAGCCTTTCGCCAGCAATTCCATTACACAAATGTTTATAAAGCACCAACTATGTATGGTACATTGTTCTATACTGAGGAAATGGACAAAAACAAAGTAACCTCTGCCCTCTAATAATTCACATTTTACAAATGAAACTGAGAGCCCAGAAGTAATCACTTCGCACTTGCTAATTGTAGGTGTTTCCCAAGATTCTCACCTTTGATCCTTTCTATATTACAGTCTCCCTTGGTAAACTCATACACTCCCAGTTTGGGAGTGTGTATGGATAAGAGACAAGAATTTACTTCCAGCAAAGACCTCTGTCTTTTGAAAGACCCACATTTCCAACTGCCTAATGGGCATATGCTCAGACAGACTCCTCAACTTAGCAGCATGGTAAACTGCATTGGGAGCCAGCAGACTCCTAGTTCTGCTACCTGCTGCTACCTGGGAGACCTTTGGTAAATCACTTGTCCTCTCTGGGTCTCAGTTGCCTCATTTATAAAATAAGGAGTTTGGACTAGATCATCTCTAAGGGTCTCTAAATCTGAATATATCCAAAACTATCTTCAACCTATCAAAACCATTTTTCTCTCTATTAATGGCACCATCCTCTTGAGCAAGTTCAAGTTTCAATGAATGAGTACAAATTTGCTAAGCATCTAAAAATAGCCCCTACCTTCAAGGAGCTTTATTTCAATGGGAGGGATTATTTCAATCACGGGGGAAATTTTATTTCAATGGGGGAAATATATATGTCAATGCGTATATGTACACATATATTCATCTACATAAATACATATTTGTAAATACAAATTAGATACAAAGTTAACATAAAAGAAGTTAGATCTTCATTTGAAAATAAAATGAAATTTAATTTAAAACCAAAACTCCAGAGATTTTTTTGGTTTTGTATAAAGTAATTTCTTTATTTTACTTTCTATTTGCATTGTAAACTATTATATATTACATATGACACATTGTTTAAAATACACTACTTTATAATTTACTTTGTAAAATAACTTGGAGGGCAGAGTACTGGTTGGTCAGTTGTCCTTCATTCTCGAAGAGGACCAGATGACATCACTATGCTAGAGTCAAGTTTTAGTGTGTCCGAATGTAGCTCGGATATGTTTGACCACAGGCCCAGCACAAATCGTCCGTGTGAACATTTAGGGTGGATTCTCTAAGTCTGCATCTTGCATTTCTCTTGAGCTATTTCAATTCTGCTCTGCTCATAGAGCACAGCACCTTCTCTGATGTGGGCATGCCATGCTGAGTGGTTCTGTGCCAGTGTCTCCCACGTTGCACAATCAATTCCAAAGTTCTTAAGAAAGATCTTGAGAGTATCCTTGTATTTCTTCTTCTGACCACCATGTGAACATTTGCCCTACACAAGTTCTCCATAAAACAGGCTTTTTGGCAAGAATACATTTTGCATTCGAACAACGTGGCCAGCCCATTGGATAGCTGAGGTTATCAGGAAGCACCACATTTGTTCTTGTTCAGTCTTTGTGACCCGACTTGGAGTTTTCTTGGCAGAGTTACTGTAGTGGTTTGCCGTTTCCTTCTCCGGCTCATTTTATAGATGAGGAAACTGCGGCAAACAGGGTTAAGTGACTTGCCCAAGGTTGCAAAACTAGTCAGTGTCTGAGGCTGGATTTGAACTCAGGAAGTCTTCCTGATTCCAAGCTCAGTGCTCTATCCATTATGGTGCCACCTAGCTGCCCTAGCTGTCCTGTTGTGGGAGGTGGTAATTGAACTCGTTTGTCCTTCCTTCTCAAAGAGGATCATGACCTTAGGAAGATGCTGCCAAGACCTGCAAGCGAATTGGATTTAAGCAAGGGAAGGACTATGCAAGGTCACCAATCTCACTTTCTCCTCCAAGCCATCTCGGTCCAGTGGCAAGATATAGATAAGGATGACTAGAGATGGCCCTGAGGCAATTGAACTAAATTACTTAAAGGAAGCTAGGGCTTTTAAGAAGAGGAGGTAAGAAAGGATTATCACATTCAAGACCTGAAGCTTTGCAAAGCTGCAGAGATAGGAAATGGAATATTGGGTTGTAGGCCAATATCCAACGGGCCGTTTTGTCTGCAAAGTAGCATGTCTGAAAGGAAATATGTATAAGAAGCTTGGGAAGGTAGGCTAAGTGCCAGATACGTAATGAAGGGCACCAAATGGCAAAGAAGAACTTGGATTTTAACCTAGAGACAATAAGGAAATCTAGGAGCTTTTTTTTTTCTTTAAAGCATGGGAGAGATCTGGTCAGACTTGTGCTTTAGGAATATTGATTTGGCAACTGTGTAAAGGACAGAGTTGAAGTGGGGAAATCAATTAGGATACTTTTGGAAAAGTTCAGGCAAGAGGATTTGAAGCCCTGATCAAAGGAGATGGCTCCATGAGTGGGGGTGGGGGTGGAGAGGTACAGATGGGAAAAAATGATGTCGAGGTAAAATGAACAAGGACTGGCAACTGATTAGATTGATGGGGTGAGGAATGAAAGATGACTTTGCGGTTTGGAACCTGGGTCACTGGAAGGATGATGGTACCCTCAGCCAAAATAGGGAAATTTGGATGCAGGGTGAGTTTGGAGGGAAAAACAGTGAATTTTGTTTTGGATATGTTGTATTTAAGATGTCTATGAGATGCTCAGTTGGAAATGTCTAATAGATGGTTTGTATCGCTATGGCTTAGCCCAGTTCCTGGCATGTAGTAAGTACTTAATAAATGCTTACTCACTGATGTGGGACTGAAATGTAGGAAAGAGGCTAGAGATGGATATATAGATACATGTATTTGGGATTTATCTGCATAGAGATGATAAATGAACTCATGGAAGCTGATGCAATCAACAAGGATGTGGAAAGAGAAGAGAGAATAGGACAGAGACTTGTAGTACACCTACACTGAGAGGGTGGGTGCTGACATAAAGGATACTGCAGAGGAAAGGCCAGACAGGAAGAGAACTAAGAGAGAGAAAGAGCTATAGCAGAAAAGCCCAGGGAGGAATGAGTATTCTGAGGAAAAAGTGGTAAATAGTGTCAAATATTGCAGAGAGGTAAAGAAGGACAAATACTGAAGCTCCTGGATTTGGTATTTTAGAGCTCATTAGTAACTTTAGAGAAAGCAGTATCTGTTAAGGGTTATGTGGGAAACCAGATTGCAAGAGACCAAAATATGGGTGAGAAGAAAGTAATGGAGGCAGAAAGAATAGATGGGTTTCCTAGGAATTTGACTATGAAAGGAGGAAAGAGAGAATAATATATTGGGGGGATGGTCAGGTTAAATGTGAGAGTTTTTCTTTAATATCTTTTTGTTTATTTCATTGAATATTTTCTAATTACATGAAAATAATTTAACATTCATTTTTTTAAAATGCCCTTCTCCTGCCCCTTGAGAAGGCAAGTGAGATCATGCAAAACATATTTCCACATTAGCTAC